ACATAGTTTCAAGTGCCTCTGGGGGGGCTGCAGAGGAGGATTTACACAGTCCAACCTGGGCAGGTAGCCAAGGGGCAAAGGGCCATCGGGTTCCACATGCATGCACTCCCAGGGAAGTCCACAGGAGCCCTGAAGAGTAGACAGAGGCAGGAAAGGAAATTGGGGATTCCAGGGAGGCCAGAGTTGCATTGCCTTGCTGGTAGGATGGGGAGAGAAAAATAAAAAATTGTTTTAGGGATTATAGGGATATATTTCCTGTTTTACAGTTTTTGCAGTTTTTGGCAGAGGCTAGGTCTGAACCTACTACCTCTGGCATATGGGGCTGGTGCCCTACTCCTTTGAGCCAAAGGCGCTACCCTATATTTCCTTTTTAAAATTTTTGTTTTCTACAAATATATTTTCCATGCCATTCCAAAAAAGACCAGGTGGGGCAGGAGGTAGTGGGTGGGCAGGGACTGTTGGGGGACATAAAAGATTTGTCACTGGATGTTATCCTTGCCTGATACCCTTTGCTGGGCTTCTAGTTTTTGTAGAACTTGCATTGCTGGGTTAAAAATAAGCCTTCCCTCATTGGAGAACGTATCCTTTCCTGCCTCTGTCCTGGTCTCTGCCACAGTGGGTTCTATGATCCTTCCTCAGATAGCATGAGATGTACTTGTTCTCAGGGTCCAGATGGGCCTGTTCCCATCGTCTCAGAGTGGTTTGATTAAAAGAGTCTGATTTCTAGCTGGGTGTTGTGGCAGGTGCCTGTAGTCCCAGCTACTTAGGAGGCTGAGGCAAGAGAATCGCTTAAGCGCAAGAGTTTAAGGGTACTGTGAGCTGTGATGCCATGGCACTCTACCAAGGGCAACATGGTGAGATTCTGTCTCCAAAAAAAAAAAAAAAAAAGAAAGGCTGATTTCCCACCACAGATACCTTCCTTTTGTTTTTCATTTCTCAGTGGATTCAGCGTGAGCACAGCAGGAAGGATGCACATATTTAAGCCTGTGTCTGTCCAGGCCATGTGGTAAGTGTGATGTAAGGTTTTAAATCCTTAGAGATGTTTTCTTAGCTAATAATATGAATAGAAAAGCCCCTTCTGTTT